ACACAAACAGTCAAAAACTCTGGTTCTTCTATTAAGTTTCAGGGATCTTAAACCTCTATAGATTAATACAGTGTTCTTACTGTTTTAATAAAAACATAAATAAAATGTGTTGATCAAAAAATAAAAACATAAATAAACAAATAACAAAGGATGGGCTTCAAGAAAAAAGTTAACTCAGCTGAGACTCTTTTTTATTGAAGAATAGCTGTATCTACTTCTCCCGATTCCGAAATAAGGTTTTCTGGTTTCCTTTAGCACTTTATCTTGTTGTATAGTTTGTTCATATTTAATACAATGATACTTTACTTTCTCTCATAAAATAGAAGAAGAGATGTTCTTATGTGAATTTTAGAGCCAAACAATTGTGAACAGTCTATAAATGGCCCATGTCAGATATTGCGACCTACTATGTCATCTTGAACATATCTGACACTCACAAGTCTCTAACGGAATGGACTACCACAGATCATATCTAAAGATTGCCTACCAAATTTTGTGAATATAAAAGTCTACACTACAAATAAATAGCCTCCCAGCATATAATGATTATGCTAAGATAGTTGCCAGTCATGATATTCCTTTGACTATACATGACTAACTTGTAATAAGGTATTACCTTAAAACCTTATTTCAGTTGTATCATTCTCTTTTTTCTTCTATTAATGAATTCTTTTATTTACTTTAAAAAAAAGGCTTGGAGATTTAACACAAGGGATGTGGCATAGAACTACAAGTTAAGAATGACACAAACAGTCAAAAACTCTGGTTCTTCTATTAAGTTTCAGGGATCTTAAACCTCTATAGATTAATACAATGTTCTTACTGTTTTAATAAAAACATAAATAAAATTTGTTGATCAAAAAATAAAAACATAAATAAACAAATAACAAAGGATGGGCTTCAAGAAAAAAGTTAACTCAGCTGAGACTCTTTTTTATTGAAGAATAGCTGTATCTACTTCTCCCGATTCCGAAGACTTCTAGACTAGTCAATTATCTTATCAAATGGTCAATCCCATCTAAGAAATAATGAACTATGATCCACATTATATACTTTGAATAAGTTCTATATCAAAGAAGCCTCCCTTTCCCTGCACCCTATACCACATGTTGTCGGATGCAGTAATGTCACTTGGATACGTGTACAAGTGTACATACCCAGCATGTGCTTAACATACATGATATCATTTTTTTATCAATAACTGCAGATTCATTAAATAAGAAAAAGTATGTGTACAGAGTAAAATACAAAGACTGAGAGATAAGCTCTCTTATCTTTTTTATAACTAAGACAAAACAAATTTTCTCTTCCCAATCCTTGCATTTTGTATGGACTGATTTGAGCCCAAAAAGGTCGAACCTTGCTGGGTTTACATGTGTAAATCTTAAACCTTTTATCAGTCCAAGAATGGAGAATTCAAAATTCTGATGGAGAAACAATTTTCTCCAAGGATTGATCTAGGTTTCAATGACCAAATTTTATGTCCAGATTGAATTAGAACCGACCCTAATACTCATACCACAAATTGCAGCTCCCAACGTGGTATAGTTCATGCCCAAAACTCAAGCCTGAATTGAGCCCTAGAGATGAAGATGACGCAGCTCAAATCCAAGAACTCAATCTAGCAACTTGATGTGAATTGATGTGCACTCCATTCACCTATGTGTGTGCTCCAAGAACTAAAGATGGTGCACCTTTGTGTTTTTGCTCAAAAAAATCAGAGAGAAAAGAGAGAAACCTCCCCATTCAGCCTTGGTCGAACTAGGGCTTGGAGGTTTGAGAATAAGTGATAATCTCTAGAAAGATTCTCTTCTACTCTATCTTATATAGAGCTGGAAAAGTTAGTCTTACACTCTCACTACGACTTCCAAATCTGATTTCTAACTAGATTAGAAGTTCTTTAATTTGGAAACCCTCTTAATCATATTAGAAATAAGAAAGATCCAAGCCTATATTCAATTTGACCCATATAGTCTAATTATCCAATTTCCTAGTCAAACTAGTCATGTGACTAGTCATACTAGCTTTTAACATGAATTGGACAATTACGCTCAAGTCATTTGATTCATATAATTAACTAGCCCATCAAACCCGAATATTGTATGGCATGGAGCCCACCAAGTCCTCACATTAATCCATATGCATTTGGCACATATAGAGAACCACATGGGCCGGATTCACTAAATACACCCAATGAACCTCTTACACAATCTAATTGGGCTTAGAATAGTCACAACACTTAACATAAGTGGATTTTAGTTTCAGCCCAAAGCCAATAAATTAATATGAGAAATAATCCCATCAAGTTTCAGCCCAAAAGACTTTTCCTCTTAACTTCTCAGCCCATAATATCTATACACTACTCATAGGGAAGGACATCTTCCCTGACTGTGAAATGCAATGTCATACTCTCAGCTCAGATGGATCCCGAGATTAAAACCTTTTGCAAACATTTTTCATAAAATAAACTATTTATAAATATAAATACATTTTGCAAATAGATTTCAAAACACATTGAAATCTACTACTAGTAGCTTTAGGTTCCCATTAGAAAGAACGTAAACCAAGATATTCTCTTTGTCTGGCAAAGTGGTTAATCATATCATAATGACCGTCTACTCGAGTGATATTCCAAACTACTTCATCATACTCAGGTATTTAAATTTTGACCCACAGAGGATCTCCCATGTTAGTACAACAAAAGCAACCAAATTAAGATTAACTAGGGTTAAGTGCAACTTTCCAGTTTTGTCCATCTGTTTCCAAGGTCCATGGCATAACTAGAAAATGGTCCTTGCTCAGTATTTCAGTAAACACCCCTAATTGTACCTTAGGTCAAACCCTAACAGTTGAGATTGACTGCCCCACTAATTTAGCAATATAATATTATCAGACTTAACATGATAAACTCCCCAAGTTTATCAAACAGTTGAGAACATTCTAAACTAAGTCTCATAAATATCCAGTTTAATAGGTAATGCACAAAAACATACCAAAACACACATGAAATAATAATGATCTAATTTTATTCACTAATAAATGGCAGAACACATTAGTTCGATTAGAGCTAAGGGCATACACCTTCCAACAACCAACACATTTGTGGAAGAGTATGCACTTCTCGTAAACAATTGTACTCTTACTTTTATATCCTTGGTCAACCATTTAAGCATTTTCTTCTCACTATTGTAGTTCCACAACTTCCCTTTTCCACTTTTTTTTTATGAATAACTTCCCTTCTTCACTTTGTAACCATCTCACTACTAGTTTTGAGTCTCCTTCAATGCTTAATTTCCTAATGTTTAATAGTCTTGCCCTTTGTAGCCATAACATCCACCCTAAGAGAATCACCCACACCAATCAGACCTGAGAATAAAAGCAGTTTCTTCCCCTCCTCATCTTTGAATACCCCTTCAATTCCTAACAAACCAAGATTCCCTATACTACGGCCATCAAAGTTAAATTTAATGAACCTTATATCGAATGGAGACCACAATGGACTGGTGATCTTCTTTTTGTAGGATGCTTCAGCCAATTTCTAAGCAAATCATCCACTATCACTAATGAGAAAGTTTCCAAGGACTTCAACCAATGGGCTACTCTAATTGTAATGGACTCAATTAAAGCCTCCCTACTACTCTCCTTATCTAAGGGGACTCTTAAATTTCTTTCCTCCCATATTGTTCATAGTGTAGCCACCCTACTGGATATAAGTTTAAATCCCCAATGGAGTCACTAGTCTGTGAGCGTCGGAAAACGACTCACTTGGGCCGGAAATGGAGTTGCCACCCATCAGTTATGAAAATGGAGGTGATGGGACCTCCAAGAATGGCATCAAAATCATTTTTATCAAATAGTGACTCCAAAGCCCGAGGCACCGGCTAGCTAGTTTTGATAAGACTTGGATGGGAGAGGGAAGGGGTTAGGCACCCTTCTCCCGAGTCTAATAGGTGGGCCCACATGGAAATCCAAATAAGCACAATAACAAATAAGCAATCAAACAAGGAAGATAATAATAAAGATAGCAAACCCAAGAATAAACCAACATAAAAGAAAAACCAATTTTTACTTACCTATATTTTTATTTTTTTTTGGTTTTTTTTACTTTTTCGCTGCTTATATTTTATCTGTTTATTTATTTATTTTGAATTTTTTAATTAATTAGTTTTTTTGTTCTTTAATTTTTTATTGTTACATTTTTATATTTTTTTCTCTCTCCTTTTGTTTTTATCAATTATATTTTTTATCTTTTTATAAAACCCCATCTAATACATTTATTCACCCATTATTTACTAGCCTACTCTCTTCTCTAACTTTTCCCAATTTGCCAACACTTCTTAAGTTCTATGCTAACTATTCAGATTCGCAGTCCCATTATCACAGGTTTTGTCATCATTTTTTATTGGCACTGCAGTTATACTATTTATTTGTTCCACCTCTTTATTTACATCTAGGAAGGGGAGAATCTCTGTTGACTGGGGAGTTCACATTGACACCTTTCTGATTCCCATTATATCAAATTGCCTTACAGATTTATTATTACCTTATTACAGTCTAAGAACCCAATTTGAACAGCCTCTCGGCTTTAACCACGACACTCATCTCACATCTCACAAGGGAAGCAAAATAAACTATTTAAACTGAAATTCATACGCAAGTCAATTTCCACAGAACCACAATGTAGTGAGCCACAAATGCTATCAGGAAGTGATTATAGATGTGCTAAGTCATAGATGAGCCAAAATAAGCAAAATAAAATGAAGAGTCGAATCAGCATCTCCTATAGGGGAAAATAAACAAATAACTTTTGTGGCACAGAGATATACTACTGCAGCAAACCTGGGTCGGTTTCAAATCTCATAGAACCTATGTGACAGAAGCTCATTATCAGCTTGGACAACCGACCGAATATCATTACATAGCAAGATATAGCAAGATATGTAAAGTTAAGAATAGAAACAGAGAGATCATTGAATTGAATATATGCAAACAAAACTTACCTGGGTTGAATGTCAGCCTAGTCTGAAACGATGCAACGTGGGATGTGAACTCACTGATTCGGACTGTTCAAAACCGAAATTCACGAGCTCGCAACCGAGAGCTAATGGGAGGAGTTATTCTAGTTCGACGCTGAGAAAGATGGCGGAAATATTGAAGGGGAAACCATCAGATTTTGTGTGGACGGCTTCGTGCGATGAGAGGCCACAAATAAGGACGGAGAATACCGGAGACGTCACCGCTGCGAGGTTCCTGCGCTCTTCTCAGCCGTCATGTGAAACATATGTTGGAGGATGAGGTGGGGAGGCCGAAACGGTGAACGGGATTGCTACAGATGATGGAGGATGAGAGAGACCGGGCTGAGATCCGCCGCCGCTCTGTTCGATTGTCGCCAGGTCCCCGAGATGAACAGTGACTGGAGATTACACCCAAAGGATTTAACAGAGTGACGATAGTTTTGGGTGCGAATCACATTCGAGTCCTCTGAACAGTTTGTCTCCCAATGATAAGGATGATCGGAGCTTGCGACCAAGGGTTCGGTGAGAAGAAACGATCTTCTTGGGTGCGCGATTCGGCTGGACTGAGTAGAGAAACGCTACGACTAATGGTTGGTTACTCGGTCCTGCTCCACCGGTGAGAGAAACAGAACATAGCCGAGGAGTTGGGCGAAGCCAAAAGGTTGAGGGAAATCAACGTGTGTAATGGAAGATCGGAAGGAACCCAAAAATAAAAATTAAAAAAATAAAAAGAAAGAGGAAGAAGAAGGAAGAGAGGGAGAGAAGAAGCCAGAGGAGAGGGTACCGCTGCCGCTACCTGTTCGCCGCCGCTGTCAAGAGGATGAAGAGGATAAACAGTGTTCTTCGGTGATTTCCGCCCCTTTTCGAATGAAAACTTGGTTGGGATTATAGGTAGGGTTAAAGTGCAGTTTCGTAATTTTGTGGTTCTCAAGGAGTAATTTGGTAATTTTGTCAAACCGAGGGTAACTTCGGTTCAACCGGGGTTCATGGGTGCATGGCTGAGATTATGGGTCAAAATGTGAATGGTTGAGATGGGTCCTGAGTGCATAGGGTGGTTTTGTATGTACAACTAGTGAGATTGGCCGAAATGGAATTTTTTTAGATGGATGGGTAAACAATGGTATTTTTTGTTGAAATTTTATGTGGTAAGATTTCTGGGCATTTTGGGTTGATTGGCAGGGTTGGATTGGCCCATATGGGCCGAGATCGGGCAGATCAGAGGGAGGGGGCATTAGTTTGGTCAATCTAGGGCTTTCAAATTGAAATGAAATCTAGGTGATGAATTAACAAAAAAATGAAATCGATGTGTGATAGAAAGGCAAACAAAGGTATTCTGGGGTGAAATTTTATAGATGGGTATTTTAGGGTATATGGTGTTTGGTGTAGTGGTAATGTCTGATTGGTTAAAGGGGGGTCAAGATCATTGGAATTTGGATTAAGGGAATGGTTTAAAATGAAATATTGGTTTGGTGGAGGGGGAAACAGGAGAATTCGGGTTTCAAACTTTATGGTCAGGTGTTTTAGTGTGTTTAGGGTTCAATCGTATAGTTTGGTTGGTTCAATCCCTATGTTTTAGTGTGTTTTAGTGTGCTTGGATCGAGAGGATCTAGGTTGTGGGTGTCTCAGTCTAGCGAGTGGTTGAAATGGAATCTTCGCTTGATGAAAGGGTAAACATAGGGATTTTAAGTTTAGATTTGTTGGGTATGTATTTTAGGTTGTATGGGGTTTAATGGCAATGTCTGATATGAGGATTAAGATGCAGAAGGGGATCGATCAAGGCCATTGAATTGGTATCATGCATTTTTAACAATGGATATGAGGGCTTTTGAGGCAAAATTCTTGTCTTTTTGGGGGATTTTAGGTGTTTTGGATTGATCAAAAACGTTTTATCAGGTGTTTAAGGTAAATTGGAGGTTTAGGTGACGAATCGAGCAAAAATTGGGTGTTGATTGCTCACAACATCTCCACATAATTCTTCCCATTTTCTTTTGTTGTAACAAATAGGCTGAGAACATCATAAAAGGGTACAATTTACAAATTGGATTTGGATAAAACTTTTGATTTGGTTGATTGGTCTTTCCTCTTAATGGTGTTGGAACATTGTAAATTTTAAGAGAAATGGTGCAAATGGATTAGGGGATGTATTCAGACTTGTCATTACTCAACAATAATTAATTGAACAATGGCAGATTTCTTTCACCCTCATTGCATGCATTATAAGTCAACTTATCTTAAGGGTACACTTGAGACAATTAGTGAAAAACTAGAGGGTGGGAAGAGACGGGGTGCCAATCTCCCATTTGCAATTTGTGAACGTGAGACGATACTCTACTTTTTTTGTGAAGGAGAGGATTTAAAGTGGGTTAGAAATCTAAAGGCAATAAAGTAACATTTTGAGCAATCCTCAAACCTAAAGGTTAGTTTTGAAAAGAGTTGCATAGAGAGTATAAATATGGAAGCAAAAAAATTAACTGATTGTGCAGCAATCTTGGAGTGTAATGTAGCACAATGGCCTCTCAAATATTTAGGTTAAACCTTGAAGCTAACCCAAAATAGTTTCGATTATAGAACCCCATCATAAAAAGGTTCTCTAAGGGGCTTGCTTGTTTAAAAAATGGGTACTTATCACTAGGGTGTAGGAATACACTGCTTAGATCAATACTAGCAAACATTCCTATGTATTTTTTTTTTCAGTCTAAGATTCTATAAGGTATTGGTCAATGATTATAAAAATTGATAAATTTTTGTGAGAATCAATGAAAAAAAAAGGACCAAAGGGTTAGCTAGGAAGTGGTTAAAAGTCTAAGGGGTTTAGAAGTTATTTAGCTTTGTTGAAGAATTGGCTATGGAGGTTGCCTCTAGATAAGGATAAACTATGCCCAAATGTATGATTATCAACAATCATGGGCTTTTGGACAATGGGTGGGATGCTAGAGTATCAACTAGCGCAACCGGAGCTTCTCCATGGACAGATAACAATGCAGTGCTACCTCCCTTTCTCCCCTACGTCAAGTATGACCTTTGTTATGGGCACCATATCAAATCATAGGAACATGTTTGATTGGAGACTTCCCCTCTAAAAGGCCAATTTCTCTCTTTATTTGCTTTGTCCCTAAGCATAATGAGTATATTTCCAACTTTTAGTTCATTCAATATAGATAAATGAATTTAGCTAAGACTTTGGCTTCAAAAGGGGATTAAGGGATTTTGACATTCCTAATGTGCTTACTTAATTCACATCCTTGAAGTCTTGAAGAAGTATTCCTTGACCCTTCCATATTTAATGGCTCCATTTGGACTTGCCCTTCCTTGGGTTTGTTTTCCAATGCTTCATTCTTGAAAGCACTCTCTCAACCCTTTTCTAACTCTCTAAGCCATTTTCCTATAAAAGAGATACAGCGTAAGCCTATACCACTTGGGATTGCAACATATTGGTTGGATGCTATTCATAATCATATCAAAACCTATGATTTGCTCCAAATAAGGAGACCACATTGGTGTTTATTTAGCCCCTAATTGGTATAGTCTTTGTAAGGATAATGACTAAACTTGCGATCACTTACTAATATCCTTTCTTTTGTTGTCTATATTTAGGACTAGTTTATCTCTTTGTTTGGGTGCAAGTGGATATCTTATATTAACATTGCATGGACACCTTATGGAAGTATAATTGGTATGCTTCAATAAATCATCCTACAAAATTTTCAACATGTTAATAGTTTATTTCAATTTGGCATAAGTATTGAAACATGATATTTAGCTTAAAAGATTAAAAAAAATACAAAATCATGATATCACCACATTAAACGAGACATGAAAAATCAATGTAGAGGCCTTACGTACCAAGAAGTTAATAAGTAAGAACCTATTCTCATTTTTATGTCCATAATCCATACAAGTGTATCTGTCTATGATCCAACTATTAAGATACAAATCACAATACATGGATGGAAGGATGATGGGGATCGGTCCATGCATTATAAGGCCTATTCTCGTAAGAAGGCCAACAAACAGGTTTTGATTTGGCATAGAGAAGACTCTTGGGACTTGGACTGATATGGTCAGGGGCATTTTCATCATTTTTACCAGCCCAATGTGGACTTGGGCTATAGCATATTGTTCCTATAGCTTAATAGTGCTTCTTGTCTTTCAATTTCCAGTTTATTTGCATTAGTATATGGAAAGTTATTGTGTTTCTTAATGCACAAGACAAAGAGTGGCACTTTTTGTAATTATGGTGAACAATGTTCCAGGCCACACAAGTCATTCTATAAATAGATGTATTCTATTCCTTTTGAAGCTAATGAATGAATGAAGATTTCTTAAGAGCTCTCTTGCTGTATGGAGTGATTCCTACAAACCCTAGAGTGACTCTAGGACCCCTTGGAGTGATTCCTTGGGATTTTCTCTTTCTCTACCCTTTTTACTCTCTCTTCCTCTCTCTTTCTGTCTTGTCTTAGTTTGTTCCAGCCCTACTGCATCAGTTTTGGTATCAGAGCATTAGGTTTCAAATGGCTCATTACCATGGTAGAAACATGAGAGGAAGATTAAGTGAACAAGCTAAAGAAGAGTTGTTGCTTGCACTTATTAATCGAGTGGACACCCTCGAAGCTCAAGTCAAAGTGTTGATGGAAGAACAAGAAGAGAAAAACAACACTGGTGTTCCACATGGAGGAGCTAAAGTAGAGGGTTCTAACACCAATAACCCTACTGGTCCACATGTGAACCACCTACTTTAAATGATTTATATGATAAGTTGGTGGAGCATTCTATGACTAATATAGATGACCATCGAGATGATATTACTGGTAAAGTGAAGATAAAAGTTTCTAGTTTTAGAGGTGATATCAATCCATGAGTTTTCTCTAATTGGTTGGTAGAACTAGAGGAAGACTTTGATTGGTTCGATATGTTAGTTGAAAGACGGGTTAGATTTGCTAAACTTAAACTGGTAGACCATGCAAAAGTATGGTGGAGGAGTGTGGAGAGTAGATTACAGAATAAGGGTAAGCGTACTATCACCCGTTAGGAAGATATGAAGCATTACTTGGAGGAGAAATATTTGCCTAATGACTTCCAAGATGCTCTTCATGATGAGATGATGACATTGAGGCAATGCAGCTTATATGTGTCTGAGTACATGCAGAAGTTTGATGAGCTTACTATTAGATGTCAGTTTACAAAAACTGAGAAGCAAAAATTAGCCTGATTTCAGAGTGGTTTAAGGGCTGATATTCAAAGGGAAATGATGATTGCACGAGTTTATGATGTAGATGATTCTTTTCAGATGACACTTAAAATAAAGAAGAGCTTGAAGAAAGTGAATAGTAGGAGGTTTGGTGTTCAAGCTGGGGAAGCAATAGCACGTAAGAGTTTAGATGAGGGTAGAGTCACTAGACTTACATCTCATAATGCAGTTCCAGTAAAGTCTAATGGTTCCAAGTATCAGGGAGCTGATAACAAGGGGAAGAACATCATAATTGATGCTAATAAAAGGGGAACAACAGAAAATACTTGTTTCAAGTGTGGTGGAAAGGGCCACTATGCATTTCAATGCCATAATAAAAATTTACACATAGGGTGTGAGAAGGAGGGACAAGTGGAAGATGATGAAGGAGGCCTTGGTGAAGAGGAGTACATTGGGTTTGAACATGAAGAAGAAGATGACAACAATTTTGTTGGAGTTGTTAGACGCATTTTAGCATCTTTTAAATAAGAAAAGAAAGAAGATTGGCTTCGTACAACGATCTTCCTCACCTTTGTTGAGAGTGGAGACAAGCTTTGCAAGCTAATAATTGATGGTGGTAGCAGCATGAGTGTGGTTTTTGCAGCAACTATTGAAAGGCTCAATTTAGTTGCACAACCTCATCCTCAACC